GCTGTGCTACAGTGGCAAGTCTCCGGTTCAGCATAATTATGTTAAAGTTGTGTCAGGGTTATGAATGTCTCTTGTCATATCAAAGATAAGTTGACAGAATAATAATAAAGTGGTTAGTAATGGAATTACCTACAAGGGATCCAATGGAGTTAAAATTTTGAAGAGTAGTGGGATGATTGCTATTAGGTACGCCGTTGCTAATGAATTGTTGTGTTCGGCTAATAAGCTGATCAGAGATTAGGCGTGCAATTGAATAGCGCCATTCAATTAGGTCTAACCGCTCAATTGGTCTAACGGCTAATTTTACCGATTGGTTGAGACATAGCCATAAAAGTAGAAAATTAGAATCTTCTATACGAGTCCCATTAAATAATAGATTATATAAATGCAGAGTATGAAATTACGTAGGTGAATTTAACGGATACGTGTAAAAATTAATGAATATATAAAATAATAGATATTAACAATCGTCGGGAACTCAAGTCAACACGCCATAAATAAAATAAAATAAACCTCTCATGTTGTATTGGTTAATTAAGTAAAAGCGCATCTGGACTTAGCCTACTCGATTATTCAACTTATTTTCTCCGAAATATGTCAACGAAAACCATCCAAAATATTCCCTTACCTGGTATACTAAGAAATTTTTTTTTTGTACTCGCAAATATCTGTGGCCAGTCTTCAACCCTTTTATTATTTGAAATATTCGACAAGATGTTTCGAGTGAATGTTCAACAGTAACTTTGAATAAATAACATATCGCTCACTGAATAGTACAGTGACACAACTCAAAAACCATAATTTCGAGAAACGCTCTCCGAAGTTATGAAAATTTAATATATTTATAATTTTGAAAATCAAAATTTTTAGCATAACAGTTAAATCGTTTGTATTATATTATTACTGTTAAGTTTTTTATTTTTTCTTAAAATTATCTATGGGATGCCACCACAATGTTGTGGCATTTTCTCGAAATGGTTTTTGAGTTGTGCCGCTGTACTATTCAGTGACCGATATATTCTACCAATATAAAAAAAAAAAAAACAGAAAATTATACTAACCTATTTAGTAACCAAACTATTGTGGTTTGACCTTATTGGAGTATGCGTAACCGTGAATTTCTATGGTATCTGAGAGGCGTAAATTGTGAATATACGCGGGTGTATCGTATAAACAAATAGAGTTATCATATTGATGTCGATCGCGTTTACACAATACACAATTACTTTACATAAGTAAGCACCAATAAACAAAACGCCAAATAAATTCTTTAACATTTAGGTTAGTAGGAGAACCATGGCGCAGCAAATGAGAACGGTTATAAGAGTTATTATTCATTAAAATTTATTAGAATCACAAATACTATTACCCGGTTCATTTTCGAAATAAGCAGGAAAATTATTCGTAGTATTTGACCCGGGTGTTTTATGCAAAATCGGTTTATGGGGCAATTATTGGCGATATAAATTATGGCTTGTCCGTGTCACAAGACAATTCTCAATATAGGGTACTAAAATTTCAAATCACTCACGCAACGAAGCAAATCCAATCATTAGAGGGATTATTTGATTTTATAATTTAAAATACACATTTATTTATGTGTGTATGTAATATTATTTATTATCTCACATCTTCAGGACCGCTAAACGGATTTAGATAATTGAGGTATCATTAGATTTTTCTTATTAGCCCAAGTGTTCTTAGATAGGTAATGTTAAAACAATCAAATATGGCGGCTTTGCGACGTCATTATATTTAATGTTTTTTTTTGTTTCAAATAGGTATCCAATTAAAGTGCTCAACACAATGATTCTAAAGTTATATCATGATTATCACTACCGTAATACTAATAAAAATAATACAATGACAAAGTTTAAAAATATGGACTCTCTTATAATAGTCGGTTCTATTAAATGACAAATTTAATTTATTAGGAAATCTTATGTTAAAATTACAAATATCTTTTTATCTCAATTACAAATGTATTTCATATATTTTTTTAAATATAACAAAAATCAAAATCCCGTACAGTAGCGTCATCTATTGCTCAGTAGGGGTAGCTAAATGTAACATTTTTGTTTACCTACCTAACCAATATAACATCTGCATTACAAATTTTGTACTGATTTGCGACAAAGATTGTACTAATTAAGATTATTTAAAACATTATTTAATGCTGCGTAAACACCTTAAATCATTTAATAATGAATTTGGAAAAGGATGACATGTAATATAATTAAAATGATAAATTGAATTGTAAACAATGGTTACTATGGTAAAGATTTAAAAAAGCTGGGCACCGTAACTTAAATAATTAACTTCGTTAATCCGTTACTAAAAAATTTAACTTCGTTATACGTTAAAGCGTTACATTTCGAAAGTTTTTAATTGTTAATTGTTAATCCGTTAAAACATGATAAAAATGCATTTTTTATCATGTCGCCATGATAATGATATACTCATAAGAACTGTGTTCTGGAAGTTAACAGGTTAATAACAAAAAGTAAAGGTGTATAATTCAAGTGTGTAATTTAGACATCTGTCATAATGTGAATATTGCCCTTCATAAACATAAATTTATTGAAGTTCTCGTCTGAAAGCGAGGTTCGTTTCGGCGTTAAAATATCTTTTTCCGTGGAAAAAAGACGTTCAACTGCAGCGCTTGAGGGAATAGCACTATTATATTTAACAAACAGATTTATAAAAATCTGTTCTCCAAGGCATGCTGCATCGTTGACAGCGTCGATTGATTTTTCATTTCAATTCATGTCAAGCCATATTTCTTAACGAGATTTTGAGCTTAACTTACTTACTTTTTAAAGATCTGTGACTCTTAGGTTTCTCTTTAGACTGAGTGACAGAATTGAAAAGTCTTCTTCCATATCATCGTCGTTGTGGCAAGGTGCTTGGTAAATAGTAGATACTGGATTAACGATTAACGGACTTATCGTAAGTTTATGAGTCCGTTAACATTTTTTAAAGTTAACTTAAAAGTTAATCCGTTAGTCGAAATGTTAACTTCGTTAATTAATGATTAAAGGATTAACGAGTTAATGCCCAGCTGTGCGATTTAATGCCTTATAGTATAAGGCTTATACAAACTCCCACTCCCATTTTCATCCCTTTATTTGGTTTTTTTTCGAGATAAGATATAAGATAGACATATGCAGCCATGGATTTTTGTTAGAACTTTTAAAGAGGATCAATTTCGTAATACATAATATTCTCCCGTTTTTGTACCATTTTTTCATTGCTGCTCCACAAAAGCATTTCATTCAACACAAAAGCAATAATTCAATTTGTTCCAGTAGTTCCGGAGATTTAGAGTTGAATTAAACAAACATACAATTCAACATTATTATTAGCATAGATATAGATATGCACATTTAACTTTATAATATTAGTTTGTAATATGGCTAGTATAGTACATATAATTGCTAATATTTGTAGTTTGTTGTTAAGTGTTTGGATGGATTAGGAGGGCTACTTATATAAAAAATGTGAAAGTTTGTAAGGGTGGTGGATGTATGTATGTATGTTTGTTACTCTTTCTCTCTCTCCCTCTTTAGTCATTCACTCTTGACAGAGTGGTTGTGGTTTCATGATGATGCCTCTGATTTGGATAATGCTGCCTTGATGATGCACCTTTATTTTTTTCATAAGAACACCATTTAATGGATTTTGATGAAATTATGGACTATTATATAAATAATTCTAGGCCCGATTGAACATTTCTTAAAACTATGTGGGTGGAAAGCTATTATTTCAATAATCAACTGTATAATGTCATAGGTCAACTGTTAAAAGGGCAGATTAAGACCTGCCGCCAATTCTTGACTCACCATTTTTATAGTTACCATATCGACAATTATTTTGGGTTAGTTCCATCAACTTACTTTAACAATAACAAACAATTTCAAAGTATTGGTTAGGCAAATAATAATGAGTTATCAATTGTCATACCTAACTTGAATAAATTGGGCACAACATTCACATCATGTAAAATGTTTTGCTTGTTTTTATGGGTTTGATTTTTGTTATTTGTGTTATGTATTTAAAATTAATGGATTATAATTTGTATTAGTCATTTTCATACATAAGCATTAAAAGCAAAGTGATAATGTGTGCAATAATAAAGTTCGATAAAGATTTGCATATACATAAAGTTTACGACATACATACTTAAATAAATAATTTAGCATACTACAGATACATTGAAATCCAAATGCATTATATAAAAATAACTTAAAAAATTTAAATGTACTTTATATGAACCATATATTGTGCTTTCAAATTTAATTTGGATTTCAAATAGTGATTTATAATTCTATTAGAAGGTATTTGAACAAATTAACAATAATAAAATAAGACTAGAAAGAAAATGTTGGAATGTATATGTCAAAACCTGGTGTGTGGACGGTTGTAGTTGCAACTTGTGTGTATTTTAGGTAAATCATCTGATGCTATCTTACATAGATTTTCACAATCTTCTTCACCATCCATGGTTGGTCTTTGTTACGGAAAAAAAAGAAAACAGCTAACTTTTCTTTGTATTTAGTTACTGATTTATGAATAATATGATAGTAAAAAAAAATATATATAAAATCAATTATACACATATAACACTCTTAAAAACAAACGGTGTTTTACAGGACTGTGGGTAGAATCACAGAATATATATATAGTAGAATACACCCTTATTATCAGACTATTTTAAAATAGCTGGTCATATTTTGATAAATATAAAATATAATTTGATATATGTTATGAAAGGTGTAATAAATGGAGAGCCAATTCATAATATAATTTGGTAAGAAGTAATAATGCAGTAATTAAAGACATCTCAAAAGCGATAGAACATTTAAAGCGGTTAGCATTGACGTTTGTACCCTATTTAAGAAGGATAACATTCGCAAATCGATATCGCTATGCGGCATTCAGATTAATGTTTATTTCCAATGACAGTATCAGTTTTTTAATAGGTTATAGTATTCACTTACGTCTAAGGGCTGTAGTCTTCGCCGAAGATATGCGGTCGAAGATTGTGTGCACAAATAATTTCACATTTCTAAATTTCTAACTATTTTTTATTTACTAGGGAATTTTCTTTAATTTCATAAATTACAGATAATTTGACATTGACAGATCCATTTTCATGTTTGAAAAGAGCATTTAGCCACACGCACGCGCCCTCGTGTTTTTAAGACTTTTTATACAAATTAGGACATAAAATAATAATCGTAATGGGTTATTGAAGTTATATTGGAGAGTTAACTCTTCTTTGTGAATTGTATTTATGAATTATTATTATTCAGTATAGTATAATTACTTCTTTTAAGTCGCAGTTTTATTAAATGGCTTAATATATTAGATGTCTTGGTACTTTAGAAAAAAAAGCTGTCACTTTCATTGTCACTTTTTATATTTTTTTAATATTCAGTATACAAAGGAATTATTTAATTCTGCTTAAATTGTTCTTTTCCAAAGAAAAAGCTTTACAATTAGGAAATACTTATATTCAGGAAGTAAATCTTCATAAGAAAATATTCTGAATAATAATACTTACACAAAGACTAATTTGCTAACGAATTTCTACCTTCTCTCACATTCAACATAAGTCAGGTTAAGATTAAGAGTAAACCTCTGTAATTCATTAAAAATATAGAAATAAAAATCAAACTCCATAATTTAATGATTAAGTATTGTTTATGAACTATTAGTAAATACAGGTTACATTAAGCATAGTAGCTGAGGTTCGCCTTCTTCTTGGCCTGAACCTCCAGAATGGCGTCCATGAAGTCCTCGTGTGTAACGGCGGCTGCGGAGCGGCGTAATGCAATCATGCCAGCCTCCACACATACAGCTTTGCACTGTGCACCATTGAAGTCGTCAGTAGAACGGGACAGCTCCTCAAAGTTCACATCTGGACTGACGTTCATCTTCCTGTTGAAAACAATATAAAATAAATTTGCCTCACATTACATTACATGAATCTGATAAATTTCTTCAATAAATTTTAACCCTTACATCATTTAGAATAAAATTGTCAATTGTTTGCAGTAATTGGACATTTCGTAATAACCTATTGAAAATCTGATACCATCTTTATCTACTAGTGAAGATTACAGAGCTTAGACAGAAGTAAATACAATCTTTAAAATCTGATACTGTCATTGGATATAAAATGTAAATGTATTCTGAATGCCATCTAGCAACATTGATTTGCGAATGTATCCTTCATATAAAGGGTACATATGTTAATGCTAATAACTTTAGATGTGATTATAAAATGTCAAGTGCACAGCAGTCTGTGCTTGCAATAGTGGAAATTTAGGGGTTTTTTTATTCAAGGGATAGTTTAGAAGTACTTTCAGTGTTCATAAATTTTGATGATAATCTTAAAAATGTTCTTTATGTCTTTGACATAAGAGTTATTAATTATAAAGTGTTTGCAGTTCACAAGAGGTATTTTCTAAAAGCAAATTTAGTTGAAGTTAAAATAAAGCCCTGTATATGTAAATAATATACATACCTTGAGTGGATCTGCATAATCCTAGCTCTAGCTTCCTCATTTGGATGTGGGAACTCAATCTTCCTATCTAGACGGCCAGATCTCAACAGAGCAGGATCCAAGATATCTACTCTGTTGGTAGCAGCAATTACCTGAAAAAAATATACAAGATGATCAAACCCAATACAGCTTAGGAGGAGGACTATAGCCTTATTTCCTTGCCTATTTTAGTTTGGTGCTAGTTTTCATTTATTATTTATGTAGAAACAATTATAATTTAATGTAAAAAAAAAGAGTTTCAAAGACAAATTAAAACTAATATTATTGTAAAAAAATATGTTTGACAATAATCCTTTCCATAGTGTAAAATAATGAAGTAATAGTAATATTAGAACCTTAATATCAGCAGTAGAACTGAAACCATCAAGTTGATTGAGTAGCTCCAACATAGTACGCTGCACCTCACGGTCTCCAGCCTTCTCAGAGTCAAATCTCTTGGTGCCAATAGCATCAAGCTCATCAATGAATATTATAGCAGGTGCTTTCTCCTTAGCTAATGCAAATGCATCACGTACCAGCTTGGCACCATCACCTACAAAAAAGAAAAAAAAAAATCAGGAAACAATTATTAGAAAAGATTAACTATTCATTTGTCTTCTATAATTATATAGACATTGCATTGCACAAAAGAAAATAATTCAGTAGTTTTGTTGATATAAAGAAATTTTAATAAGTATCATACCAATAAACATTTGCACCAATTGTGGACCAGCCAGCTTCAGGAAAGTGGATTTTGTTTGAGCAGCACAAGCTCTAGCCAGCAGAGTTTTTCCAGTACCAGGTGGTCCATATAAAAGCACACCTTTGGGTGGATGGATGCCGAGATTCACAAACTTTTCCTTGTGTGTCATTGGTAGGACCACTGCCTCTATCAGTTCCTGGAGAATAATTTTTTTTTATAAAAAATAAAAATATATAACTAGCAATTTTAAATTCTTAATAATAACTAACTAGTAGGTAGGTAGTAGATGAATTATGAAAACATCATATTGATGCTGTAAAGCAAATACATAGTAACCTGCAAAACTAAAATGGATATTTAGAGTGGAAAATCTTTATATTTTTCCAAAAACAAAAATCTTATTTCCCTATAAATTGATTAAGGAACACCTTATATGTTACCATAGACATTTATAGGAATTATTTATCGAAAAAAAAAAAAATTCTGCTCTGAAGAATACTTTTGATTTTACGGGTTACTACATGTTTGCTTTCCAGTGTTGATATGGAACACTAACCTGAATTTGTTTATCGAGTCCTCCAATATCTGAGTATTGTTCTGTAGGACGTTCATCCACTTCCATAGCTTTAACTCTCGCATCATACTCAGCTGGCAGTGTCTCCAAAATTAGATACGAGTCCTTGTTCACACCAACTAAGTCACCAGGCTTCAGTTTCTCTGCATCTACCAACCCAATGACTGGCAAAAAGTAAGTCTGGCGTGTAGACGTTTTGATCACAGCACACTTTCCTTTCCTCTGCGAGTCTAAATCTACTACTGCACCATCCTCTTCCTCTTCTTGAGGGTCTACATCTAACAATTCAATAACATTCGAAACAAGGTACGGTAAGGTTTTGTTGACCTTAATTTTTTCTGTGTTTTCCTTAATTTTCTCGTTTTGTGCCTGCAGTTCGTGAGTAATTCTCATAAGTTCACTCTTCATAATCTTTATTTCATTGTCTAGAAGCCTGGTGCGGCTGATTATTTCATCTGTGGGCATACGAAGCACTTCTTCACTTAGTGCTTCTTCCCCATCTTCCCAGATAGATTTATCTTCAAGTGTAGTAGCCATTACTCCACTATGTATTAAAAATAAGTAATCGAATAAAAATGTCTTGTTTTCTTATGAAATTTAATAACGATAAACATAAAACTAAAGACAAATGACAGATCGTACATATGAAAATGATTTGTCACGATCATAGAGTATTTCTTTTATTCTATTTTAGGCAATGGGTTTCAGCCCATACAATTAAGTTATGACAGTAATACTTTTATAAAAATATTACATTAGAATGAGATAGGTGTAGTTATTGACCGATTATTACTGCTTTTACAGTACATAAATGTTTCTGTAACATACTAAATGTAAATATAATAGTACCTATTTACTATACTTATGGCACACACAACTTACAACACATGTATACGTTATAGATGAGGGAGAAATTTCTTCTGTTATGAGGTTACATTGTTATGGTAGTAATTTATGTTAGGGTTTGTATGCATAGTTTTGCCATAAACTCTCAGTTGAGGTACTTGACGTTGTATACAGGACATGTACGGTTTACCACACTAAAATAGACGGCGGCGATGTGATAGTCATGAAGCTACAGAAATAATTTTAGCTTCGTGGTGATAGACGTATTTTGCTTAGCACTTATTATGCAGAACTGAAAAAAAAGAGATCGCACTAAATGGTGTAAACATTGGTTATTGAAAACAAAGTAAATGCAAAGTTTTCTCATGCAATTTTATAAATTAATTGAGATTTATATCAAACGATAACAAATAAATTTACGAATGAATAATATAGACATAATTATAGACATTTGATTACGCCAAACACACTGGGTTATGCTCGTGCGCAAACGTAACCAATTTTGATATTGACTTGGTTGCATGTACGTGCGCTGAAAACTGTACGATTTTATCACATACATGCTAGGGTTTGCCAGTAGGTTATGAATGCAACGCTAAAACTATCATGCAAACCTAACGTGTATGGCCTCCATTAGCGACATTCTACTGTATACTTGGCACCAAACTAAATTTTTTTAGTTGGTATCACTGAATGTCAATGACACTGTCACTGCCTTGGCCTTTTGTTTTGAGTTGACATTGACAATTCGCGATACAAATTTCGAAAAAAGGCTTTCTAGTTTTTAAAAATAATTTTATCAATTAGTATATTTATTAGCTGTTTATAAGCTTATCCAAAACTTGAATAATGGCTTTCTCTATGTTCCTTCGAAACTCAGGTATAATCCATCAATATGTTTGAATTTGTTATTACATAACATTACTTTGTTTTTCGGTGGGTTGTTTAATCTTTTGGATGCCTCTGGCAGTATTTACTGAAATTAAAACTACTATTTGTACCGTAATTACGATTTAATACTGTAATTTAATTTAAATAAGATTGGGATAGGTTATGTTTTATTAACTAACTAATGGATATGTAGAGTTATTATTGTTATCATATGCTAATGGCATGTTCAATATTCTCATTTCAGTATGCACAAATCTGCTTAGACAGCAGCTAGCACAAATAGCATCACAGCCTACACTGACACATCGTTCAGTTACCAGTGCTATATCCATTAGGAGTGTAACACTGAATGACAGCAAAACACCTATTCTTAATTCTGTAAGTTTTGTTTGTAGTTTATTTCTAATAAAGAAGCATTATTTCTTACCATCAATAAAATATATAGTTATAGAGCAAAGTTATGTTGTTCTTGAGTCTGTTTTTCTTTAAGGTTTTTAGATCCATCAACAGATCACCAACCACCTCATAACATACAAAGCATCTATAATCTATGTATATCTATCCCAACAATATAATTTTTCAAGAGATTGACTAGTTTAATTTGCACTTCTTTATGGAGCCCCCAGAAATATGACATGAAAACTAAAGGTGTGGGAAATAATGCATGATTTATGAAAAACAGATGTGTCTATTTCAAGGTGCGTTCATTCCGCACGACCCAAGTGCGCCTCTCGGATGAGAAGCCTCATGATCATTCCAAACTATGGGTGATTGAGAAGGCAACATCGGCAGCTCTAGTTCCACTGGTTCCACTGGGGCTACTCATCCCCAACAAGATCATCGACTCGGTATTAGCCATCCTCATCACGGCCCACAGCTTTTGGTAAGAATATTATAAAATATTATTAGCTTATGAAATTAAATTTTCTAGGGCCACAAACTAGAAAGACTTAAAAAGATTTTAGATTATAAGGACTCCTTCAAGTTATCTGTCAGCATATAATTTATCTCTTTTATTTGGAAATAACATACTTATAGATAATTGAGGCATCCATCTGTTCATCCTTTTATTACATAAGACAAATTTTGCTAGTTTATGATGTATCATTTGATGTATAAAATAGAAACCAAAAGAAGAAAAAATAAAAGAATATTCACAACTCCTTTATATCCTTAATATTCATAGCAGGTTTTTGAGATCTTATTAATAATTACCAAGACTCTCTCATGTAAGAAAAAGTAAGATATGTTGTCCCCTCGGTCTCTTCATCAACTTACGTAAAATAAAAAAAATGGATGGCTTTTTATATCTATTAAAACACTATATATAGCAATTTGATAATTATAAATAAGATAACACTTAAATACCCCTTAATGAAATGATGGGGTATGGTTAGTAACTGTTACCTACACCTGTCTCTCCCTTCCATATTCCTTATCCACTTAACCTTGTACCAGGGGTCTAGAGGCCATGGTGGTCGAGTACATCAGAGTCCTGTTATTTGGACCGTTCATACCTAAAGTTGCAATGGGTATAGTATACGGCATCACTGCGGTGATGCTTGGTGGACTGTTCTACTTGAATTTTAACGACATCGGCATGTGTCGCGCCTTCTGGAAGATATGGAGGAACATGAGGAAGCCTAAACCCGCCCCACCAAAACCGGCACCTGCCATCCCACAGGTTCTCATATATTTACTCCAATACTTGTTATGACATCAAACAGAAGTAACTCTTACTTTAGGCGTCATGCGTTTATTGTAAGACGATTTTTATTAGTTTCTCTTTCCCCATCCGGCTTAAGAAGGATCGGCCAGTCCCCATTCTCTATTCAATTATTATTATGTAAAGGCGCGTCCACATGATGATTTATAGAGGTTTAACTGCACAGTTTTATCCGGTGCAAGCTGTCGTCCGTGGCATTGTTGTTGATTGCGTTTGCACAGTTTTATCGTTATTATGTTTTACAAATTATATCGGTATGGTCCACCGCGGTTGAAATAGTTTCTGCGGAGATGTGACAGTCCGACACACCTAGTGTGTGGACGTACTATGGACTTTTGATATAACTGTACTAATGGACAGTGCATTTGATTTCCACATTTTTATCGTTGTCGTATGGACGCTCCATATGAATCTGAAAGGTGAACAAAAAAATTATCAGTTTTTTTATATCGTGCGCCGTATACTACTTTACAGATTTTTGTGGTCCTATCTAAGAACTATCAAGACTCCATTTGCTACTTCTTTTCCCCCTTATAGAGAAAATAAGATACTGTTGACCCCTCCCTAGATCGTCTTAAGTAGTAAACGCATCGCGCCTTTTTAAAAGTCATAGAAATTGTCTAAAGGAATATATTTTACGCCATAGCTCTGTCATGTGCAAATTTATGCAAATAAATTGAATTGAAGTCTTGCCTATGTGACTTTCAGTTCCAAATTACTTCTCATTCACTTGTACTGAAACAAAATTTGTCACAAAACACTGTAACTGTATAAATATTTAAATACCGTTGAATAACTAAGGCTTTCATAATTTACGAGTTAAATTTATTTACCTATAGGAAAAATTACCCATGGCCATAAAACGAAACCTAGAAAACCTATCCCATAAAAAAAAAAACGTAAATGACATTTACATACACATTCCGAATTAATCTATATATTGTTATCAAAACTCGTCGTCGGCGTCATAGATAGGTTACTAATAACGTTAATTACTAAATGGCGGTAAGTCTTAGTTTAATTGTTAAACTAATTAAAAATTGTTTCTTTATGCTTGTTATATTCCATTCATTATAACATTAGAAAAAAGAGGGTCATAGAAGCAGCAGTGCAGAACATTTTATTTTCAAGATAAAATAAACTTTGAACTTTGAACGTTAAGTACTTTAAGTAGTTTACTCCCAAGCCAACATGGAACTAAACTATCTATCTGTTGATTTGATTATAATTAGAATAGAATTTAGTTATATCTATGTCCAGTAAAGAAAGGTAAACAAAATGAAATTTTTATTAATACTTTTATAACATTTATTCAGACATTAGACTATTGATGAAGACATTGGTAAAACTTCTTGAAATGTCAAATGTTGAGGGTAGGTATAGGGGCTTAGAGCGTAATTGTTGTAGGACACTCGGGCCTGCACCGGCATTGTCCAAATTTAATAAAACTTAACAACAAAAATAAAACAATAGCAACTTAATCACGGAAAAGGGCAAAACAACAAGAGAGGCAGTAGCATTCACAATAGATGACAGTTCCAGATTACGTATTTTGACAATTATGAATACCTCATAGTCTGACAAAATTCAAAAACTGTAAGGGATTAGGCAACGTTTTAAATTTGGTAGAATTATAGTGACATGAGAATCGTGCCGCAACTATCCAACCCTGCTTCTTTAGGTTCTTTAAGATGAACACTTTTTATTATAATAGTTATTAAATCATTTAAGTTAATCAAATACTCATAAATTTGTTTAATAGATAGCTTAAATGATAACAGTCAAGTATAGCAGCTGGTATTTAAGTGAATATGTAGCAAATTAGCTGTCAGTCTTAAGAATAACATGATTATTGATATTTTGTCAGAAAGTATACCATAAAAAGAACCTTATTTAACTTCTGTCTAATGCTATAATGAATGGAGTATAGTTAATTCGCTGTTGAACATTTTTCGACTATTGTAGGTATGCAATAATAGATTTGGTTATACTCCTGTCCTGTACTCAATTCTATTTATGTCACAATGGAGTGTTGTTTCCTTTATCAGATATTAAATGGTTGTTATTTTGTGTAAGAACTCGTCTGTTTAAGCGCAACATCATATCTATAATTTTATAGGTATATATTTATATAAACATGAACGTGCACCGCGTTGTTTTATATTAAAAATTAATAATAATAAGGCGCATGATGAAACTTCGTACACGCAGAACAAACATATTATGTTTTTTTTTTATTTATGGCTAAATATTATCATACGTTCCGTTATGTCCGCCATCTCTGAGGTGTCGGGTTCGTTTTCCGGTTGGGTCAACATAGAAAGTGAACTTCCTGTGTTGTCCCGGGTGTGGGTGTTGTGGTACCTTTATTCTTCAAATTTCCTAAAGGCTACATACTGTTGGAAAAATATACGTGATGTCGTCTAATAATTATTTATAGGCGGAATTGTTAAATCTGTGGGGTCCCATTCAAAATCTTTCACAATATTTTTAAAGGTATAGCTATTTTAGGTATTATATAACGTAGGCAATCGTTTTCGGAACAAATGATGATTTGAATGGTCAAGAAACATAATAAAACTTAAAACAATATATGTTTCTATGCCTTTGACAATTGTAATTAACGTCAGAGTTCAATTAATTTCTCTCTAATAAGTTAATCGCTATCACATTTAAATTATACTATTTCGAACGGGGTTTGTATCACATGTTAAATAGATAGAGCGTGAAGATCGCGAACTTCTCTCAAATGTCAAATTGAAAGGGCTTGCGATTGATTTCCTAATAAGACAATTAAGCATCTGCTTTGCACAAATGAAAATGCACCATTAATCATATCGGAACTTACTTTACTTAGATAAGCTTTCAAAGTAGTTACTTGAATCACTTATTCAATGGGGTGATAATGTTATGTCAAGGGCATAGGAACAGATCGTCGGTATACTACTGAATATGGAACAGAATCGTTCAATAGCTACATAAAATGAACAAGACGAAAAACTAGCTGGTATAAAATAATAACCAACTTTTTTTTAAAAATTGAGCTGTATTATTAAAATTGCCAGAGACGTGATTCTAACCCGCGAAACTTTATCAATCTACCTTAACAGCTGATTGAAGAAAGCAGTCGCTCAATTATTGAAAGGTTGCAGTAGAATCCCTAGTATCTGAGACGATTGAATTAAATAAGGATTTTTCTATAAAATAGAAAATTAATATGCATATTGTAAAGTTTATTAATATTGTAGTTACGAACGCGTATCGGTAATATGTTGAAAGTTGCAAATCGTTTGCAAAAAAGTTACACTTTGTGTACATTTGAAGTATACTTTCAGTCGATCTCCCTTTTCTGTGCGTCACCAATGCTTTATCGATATATGTTTGTCTGGAAGAGATCGCTGTTTAGTGATAAGACCGCCGATTGTGACACATAGCTTAATATTGTTCTTTTTTTTTCTTTGTATGTTTTGTATTTGGTGTTTGCAATAAAGTGTTATCTATCTATCTATGTTTACTTCCAGGGGCCTGGAGGCGATCGCTGTTGATTACGTGCGAGCAACAATATTCGGTCCTCTCATACCTAAAATCGCCATCGGGCTAGTGTATCTGCTGTCCATCGCGACCCTTGGTGGTCTGTTCTACCTGATCAGCCACGATGTAGGCCTGGCCAACTCTGTCAAACAAATCTGGTCCATAAAGGCAGAGCAGAAGTCGTAAGGCTACCGAACTAATCGGGATATTGACGCATCTGGACATCTGTACATTCGATGTAGTATAACTGTAAATAGGGATTTCGACCTTATCTATTAAGTATATAAAGTTTTATATAGCTTGAAATTTTTTTTCTAATCGTTTTAAAATGATGTGTCTTTTCTGTGACAAGCTGAAGATAATGTCTTTGTGATTTGTTACATTAGTTTTATAGACCTAAATTATTGTAAGCATTACTCGAGTACATTTTTGTATATCAATTGAAATTGCCTGTGGACAGTATTGAAATTTAATTTATGATATTATCATTGATAAGTATTTTATTAAAACCTAGACAATATTTCATCATAATAATTAATGTACAACTTGTGTTGCATAATCGAATTTGATATTATTAAACGGCATCGAAATGTAGGTCTGTTTGCTTACGAAGGCAGGTTGTGCACGGAGTAAGTAAGTACCTAATAATCTTGTTTGGTGTATTAAGTTGCAAAAGCTTAACTTTTTTGGTCGAATTCTTAACAGTTTATATGATGGGAAATCACGTTGAACGTTACACTAATATACTTTAAGTTCGCCATTTATGAAATGCGCTATTATGGCTTCTAATTTAATTATTTGTAAAGGTCCAACAAGATCTTGTAGTCCTCTAAATTACCATTAGTTATAGTTTGTATATAATTAATTTGCATTAATTTATATTTCCAATGCGTCAATGTCCATATAGCATGTAACAATGTTATAATGAACTCGAAACAACAAAATAAGACAATAATGAAATTTATTGTTTATTTTATTTCGCTATATTAAGAGCAGATGTCAATGGTCAGAAAGATGGGCGTTTAATTTTACGGTTTTTCAAAAAAATCATCATTCGGTACTTAATGCTTGGCACAAGATTTCGTTTGAAATTATTTTATTATTATTGGTATTTTATTCTTTGGCTTCGGCACGCAATGTCATTCTGTTTTTATTGAATGCCTCGTGAAAGAGCGTGTTTGTGATTTTTGCATATTTAATTTATTGTTAGTTAAAAGAATAAAGTTTTTTAGAGAAATCATTGTTTTCTTATATTATGATCCGTTCACTGGAAATATGAGATATATACTTTAATATAATTATTTTCTAGCAGCACAGTGATATCGTTTATATTTTTTAATAATTTTCCAAAATCTATTGGAATGTTTTATGTAATGGCAAAATCAGATTGCGAGTTGGCGATGCTTGTCACGCTGAAATGAGCTGTAAAGTAATGTTTTTTATAGCGCAGACAATTTTGTGGTTTCACTTTAAAAATGTAAACTTAGTAAAAATAATATATTTCACAATACAAAAGAAACTATCCATTATCAAAGAATATTCCAGACATTCAGTGACAATAATATTTTACATAACAATACCTCAGAGATTCTATCAGCTAGGTATCCAATTTGAATGAGTTTGACTCTGAATGGTTCTTTATTAATAATTCAAAATGATTCAGAAAAGTTTTGTTAAAATTAGATATGTGTTTGTGCAATCATGAATAGTGAATGTTGAGCGCCATCTGGTGGAATACAGTTCTATGTTAATTCCCAAGAAAAAGCATGTCTAATAATAAAGTTTTATGTGACAAGATCTATAATATGCAAAACTCGTATGGGTACAAGATCCCCTGTCAGTTAGTCAGTTGTCTCACGTCTGTGGAAATGTATGCAAGAGAGAAATGAGTTGGTCACAGGATTTATGCTGTAAAACAGAATTGCGACCAGTATAAAGAATCGACACCAATTTAAATGTGAAATATATATAGATATAAGAGTTTATATAGGTACTTTAAAAATACAATGGTTTAAGCGGCCGGGACAGAACAATTAAAACCAGATATTACATAACTTTGCAAATATTGCAAAACATTATATTTCTAAATATAAGTTATACACATCATAAAATTTGTTTCTACATTAACAAAATAAATAAAACTTAGTGAATAGTAGCTCATTTGGCGTTGCTATCGAAATACAAAACAGTCTTTTTTACACTTGGTAGATGTTTTGTTTGGAGAATCAGAAAAACTCTGAAATTGTCATATTTTTGTTCATATTTTAAATGTTCAATGGGTAATGGGTAAATTAAAAAAACCCTGTACTAATTGACCTGTGTTCTAAATTTTCATTAGCGCTTAGTTTTAAGTCCACTAGTAATGAACGCAAATGAGGCTACGTCCGCACGTGTCTATCGTGGAATATGGCTAGCGCCTCCCACTGCTTCGTGTGTAGAAGTATGTGTCGTCGTCTCGCCTTCATGTACTCCACAGCCTCCTCGGGAGACCAGCCGTTTTTCTGTGGATCGACGATCATGTTTTAGCAAAACATAATCTAATTATATGCAGCGGTGATAAGGTTAGGTTAGATTACATAACCTAACCTAACCCTATCCTCCTAATTCAATTCAACGTCACCTTTATTAGCTCCTAATCTAGCCTAACCTTATCCTCATTAGGTCCTTGTCTTCTCATTGTTGACATATTTGAATTGTGGCAATTCTGTTGCATAAATACTGAATTTGGATTTGATCCTATCTATTGGATTTCCAATTCTTTAAATTCGGAGTATATTTTTATTAAATAAATTGTGCTCACACAATAATAACAAACTCAATTTAATTTGTTTATTTTTCGTTAAGTTTACTGGTGCAACAGAATGAGTACTGATTTCTTGTTTATTGCCAACGGTTTCTTTTGTAAACTAGTTGACATCACCACAAGATATTGCAAGTTGTGGTGAGACATGGCCCTTTCTCAAAATTTTGTATGATTCCATGCATAAAGGCATGAAAGTGGGGACATAAATAGGTTGGTGATGAATATCTTACATAGTACCTTTAATGTAGTGGTAATTATAATAGTGACTTTAAATGACTGATAAAATTGGTGATTGTAACTGACCATCATTAGGTAACAGCCGACGAGTGTGGCGCTTCGCGTGCGTCCCGCCTTACAGTGCACGTACACAGTACCACTGTTGATCTGTCTACTATCAGAGGGTACACCGTGCAGTTTCGCACCCACTGGCAGGAACCTGGACACATTCAAATATTTATTTAAGGTGTATGGCTGTTTCACTAGCTGCCCAAAACCAACATATTATATATAAAATACATACACACTATAAACATATATAAAAATATATAAATATACAAATAAAAATATATATATATACATACACATACTCAGAAATCATGTCAGACTAGAAAACACAAATTTATTGGAGATAATATTCTCGCACTGCTCTCCTAAATGCTAAGCCGTTTAACACATTTTGGATGTTCAAAGGAAGTGCATTCGAAGGCTGTAAGGGTGAAAAAATGCATAGCCTGGATGTTAGTCTAGAAATGGTGAGAAATCTAACATTATTTATCTTTTTATTTAGCTTCTTTTAAGATGATTCTTTTGACATATATAGTCTCAGATTTCCTCTTTTCTAAACTGTTAATTTGAGATGTGGAAAAAAACTACTTATAAAAAGTATCATGAAATAAACCACTTCCCCTGTACAGATATATAATATTTAGAAACATACCTATTAATAAATTTGACACCTTCATATAACTTTTCCTGGTCAGGAGTTTCAAATATGTCTGTGGTTGCTAGCTGCAGGAATTCAACACCGTGTTCCTTCCATTTCTACACAAAACATACAATGTTTCAACTAGTTACAATACCATAATCTGATGATTTTTCTATGTGAAATATATCATTAGGTCCTAACTTACTTCTGCATCATTTGAGAATAGTTTCAGTTCATATGTTTCATTCATAGATACAACACCTTTCAGGTTTTCCTCTTCTTTTAGCTGTAACAAAGAGCAAGCATATAAGTATTAGACTTCCATGTTAAATATCAAGAGCAATTATTTTTGTATATAAACTTATGTAAACTGTTCCTTTTCATGAATTAATTATTACCCGATGAATCATGAAAATATTATTGATCCTATTTTAAAATTATCCTTAATCTTAAGGGACACTTGTTTTACTAAAATTGTAATAACCTTAAACTTTTACCTGTTTAGTCATTCCTTGAAATGGGAGAGCCCCGAGTATGACTGTGTCATCCATTCTGTCGTACCATCTTCTGCTCGTGATCCTTTCCATCACCACATTGTAAAACAGACTTGGATAAAATGTGACTCTGGCGAACATCGCTGTGGCCTACCGAAAGTACAGTTAAATTAATTCTAGACCCACTCATACCGCGTCGCACGGTATAGTAATGTTGCTGTAATGAGGATACCATGGTGAAAGCTGGTTGACGGTAGTGGGGATCACTGGAATTATTGTTTTCGGTGCTGTTTCGGTTCGTCGCGGAACACTGACATTGACATTGGGCAAATATTTTTTTGACATTGACATATTTTGCCTCGTTAAGTAAGTTCAGGCAAAGAAATTGAACCCATACAGTTACGTCTGAATTTGTTTATACTATTATGGACTTGCCGAGTTTTTAATTTTGTAAACGAATTATCAACTGTTTAATGATCGCCGTTGAGTTCCTTAAATTATAAAACAATGATAATTACTTTCTACTACGTATAATATATTTTTAATGCTATTAAATATAATAATTTGTAAGCAAGTACCAAATTGGAAAATTACAAATAAGAATTTGTTGAATTAACTGAGTAGATCATTAGACCTCTTCGACCCCCAAAATCAGTTTTCGTTTATGTCGATCATTAACTGGAAACCGATTTCCACTTTTTTACTCTGCTCTAAATGAATTTTGGGCAAGTATTCACTCCAAATCTATTATAAGCTTAATTTTTACTCTTGTATTTAGGAATACTTTTGTCAGTTTTTCGTTGAAATAAGTACACTAATAAACGAGAGCTTTATTCAGAGTACTGAATTTCAATGCAAAAAAGCAAGAATTTTTGTAAATAAAATAAAGATAAAATGTGGATACTTTAATTTTTTTAAATAATTTCAGTCAGTTTTAAATTCAATGTTCACATTATGTTTGTTTAGCTATAACCATATGAGCTTCATGTAGGAATGGCAAGCAAATCGGCATTCTGCACGACTGTAGAATTTATTCCCGTTGCCACCGCAGCCAGACCAGATGAAAGGACGACAGTGTCGGGTCTTCATATCAAAATAGTAACTGAAAAAAAACATTGTTTATTAATTCATTTTGGGCATTTTAAGTATACATTATGTAAACTTAAAGTGCCTAATTATTTTGTTTGAGCATTGTCTATTGCAGGTCTCGTTAGCTTGCTGCCACTGAAATAACAGGCGTAAAAGCACAAAAGAATTTGGAATACAATATAACAATTTCGCTTTAAAGAACAATTGATAAAATGGCTCACTTAGTTATAATACTACGGAGAAATTTATAATGTACAAAAAATTGCTATGCTGTGCAATTGTTATTTAAAATAGGTTTAATTTCCTATATTACATATACAATAGGTAAAAAACACATCAGGGTAGTAGGTAGATACTGTTATAAGCTATAATTTATTGCGATTGTGATAATAATCCCGAGTATTCCATAAATATTCGTTTTCTTCTTCTTTCAAAAACTTTTTTTATGTTATAAGTACCTGCATTTCAATATCCGAATAAAGTATTATTATGATGTCGTTAACTGGATATTTTTATTGGAGGCATCAAAATTGTTTATTAAAAAAAAAGAGATTACAGAGATATCACAATTTTGTCACACTATGACGGACACTACGAAACTTGCTAAATCTCCGTAAAGTAGACCGCAACTAACTACTGCACCATGGAGGTTTTCCTGTAACATAACATACAAATTATCTATAGTGTAGAGTATATACCTGGGATATTGTTTGTCACATGTTCCAACATCTCTCGGTAGTTCACAGTCACTCGTGGCTGAAAAACGAAGAAAAAATATTTTTCAACTTTACTTAAATTAATCTATCAACAGTTTTAATAGGTTAACAGCTACGTACATTTCGTTGGACTTTTTGAGGATGAGCCGAAAAAATTTTTTTAATTTAAATTGAAAAGAAAAATATTGTTATATTTTTAAGAATTTAATATTTATTGTTATTTCACAAATATAGCATCATATTGAGTAACTTTTGTTTTGGCTCCCGAGAGCATAACAACTTTTAAGATTTTTGGAAGCAGAAATAAATCAATCAATAAAAAATATCTTTAGTTATATTTTAAAAGGGTAAAAAAAAATAGAATTAAATAAATTTTCTTTTAAAAAAATTTCAATTAAAAGATATTATAAAAGTAATCACGCAAAACCCATTTTATTGACGACTTTTTTATTCACCTTGTATCAAATGAAATAAAGTTGTAGCAATAATAAAACACAGTAACAATTTACTCGCCATCTTGAATTTGATTTACAGATTTATTTTTAGGCTCCATTTATATATCTCTCAGCTACATGTTTATGTCGTTAGCTTATCAAGGTACAATATACGGATGTTTTTGTCATTTAACTGACAAATTAGTAACATTAACAACAAAGGAAGAAAATTAATTGTAAAATAATCTAAATTGATTCTAGTCTAACTGTGGTATTCCACAGTTCTTCATCATTGTTTATTAATTGGTTTTGATTTTTATATTTGATTAATTAAATAAGCTGTGCAGCTGGATGGCGTTGGTGGTATAGTCAAACAGATATATGGATAGATGATCGAGATAAAGGTACTTACCTTTGGTTTGCTCCATTGAAGGATGGAACACTAACAAACAAGAAATCCTTTGGTTTCGGTTCATTTCATAACAATATGAAATGAAAATATCTTTATTCAAGTAGACTTATTACAAGCACTTTTGAATCGTCAAAAAATTTTTTTATCCGCTACCACTTGTTCAGGACTTCTTTTAGCTGTCAAGAAGAACAAGCGAAAGAAACTTACCAGCCATTTACATAAATCATGTCATTTCCAAAATAATATGTATTATCACAATAATAAATACGACTTTCAAAGTCTGTAGGACATAGGTTGTACATATAATGAATTAGTCGTTTAGAGATAACTCATTGGATTTTATTGTCTCATTCTTGACTGACAGAGTACAGAGGGTTGATATCAATGGCAAAAGATCCCCTGGATCGAAAGTTAAGATGGGTGTTCCGCAGGGCTCAATACTTGGTCCTTTCTTGTTTTTAAATTACATAAATGGCTTGCCTTATTTCGCAAGGGATAATCACGAAATAGTTTTGTTTGCGGATGACACTTCACTTTTGTTTAAAATTAAAAGATGGCTACCTCTAAATGACGATGTGAACAATTTTATCGCTAAAGTAGTACATTGGTTTAATGTAAATAATCTTCTCCTTAATGAAGGAAAAACAAAATGCCTAAAATTTGTACTACCTAATGTTAAAAAAGTAGACATAAATGTTAATATAAAAGATAAGAACATGGGCCTTGTGGATACCACAGTATTTTTGGGAATAACATTAGATTCTTAACTACAGTGGGGTCCACATATTGATAAATTGTCGAGTAGACTTAGCTCTGCAGCATATGCAGTAATACGTAGGTTAACTGACATAGACACAGCCAGATTAGTATACTTCAGTTACTTTCATAGTATTATGTCGTACGGAATCCTATTGTGGGGAAATGCTGCCGACATACAAATGATTTTTGTGCTTCAGAAAAGAGCAATCAGATCAATTTAAAATATTAGGATTAAGGACTCTTTAAGGGAGAAATTTAAGGAAATAGACTTTATGCCTGTTACTTCTCAATACATACCTATACGAGAACTTAAAGTACGTTCGTAAAAATATTAGTTTGTTATCTACAAAAATTGATGTACACAATTTTATATAAGAAATAAAAATAAATTAGAGGTGCCTGTCACTAGACTGCAAAAAGTTAATAACTCATTCAAGGGTCTTTGTGTGCGCTTCTACAATAAGGTCCCAAGCAAAATACAACAATCTACTATTACTATCTACTATTAAAAAAATACTTAATAAAAAAGCTTATTATAAGGTATCCGATTATATAACAGATAAGAACGCTTGGACTTGAAATGATCCAGCAACTGGAAAGGTGATTACCTCTAAATTCATTATACTGAAAATCAAAAATTATCTTGTTTCCATTATTATTAAATGATTATGTTATCATTATAAGACCATAGTTTTTTTTATTGTCTCTCTATTTATAATGTATTGATCTGGTATTGACATGGTTTTTGTGAAAGTCATTACTCCTATTAAAGCTGGTAAGTTCTTGCTTGTTCTTCTTATCAGCCAAAAGACGTCCTGAACGAGTACTTTTAAGAAGTCTATTTGAATAAAGATTATTTTGACTTTGACTTTGTTATAAAACAAAGCGAAGGCTATTAATTCCATGCATTGCGATCCTTAAAATAATCATCAACTTTATAATAGTCTTTGCTCATAAGTATGTTCTTTACGTATTTATGAGTAAAGGCTCTATCTAATATCTGACTAAAAATAATAATAAACATCAAATTATTAAGGTACAAAATTTTATTCGGTAAGAAGAAACTCATTGCAATGTTACAAGTAAATAATTCATTACCAAATATTAGAATCTCGCTGCGTTTTATGGATTGAGTTGAGTAATTTCTTGATATATGAAATCTTTGGTATTCTTATTTGTGGGGATATTTTTTCTCTATGTACCGCATTTATTAATAAGCTGACTGCCCATGGCGGCATGGCGGGCTGCTTTCAAAAATTGAAAGAGATATCATCGGGTTGATGTATCGACACCATTTGTAAACGCAGCGGGGTGCGCACGCCGGACGACATTCCGAATTCAAATTAAATTAAAACGCGGTAAAAACAACGTGTTTCCGTCCGCCGCGTTCGCTATTCAAATTCGAAATAGATTCGATCTGCGCTAATTTGTCTATGACTACGGATCGAGAACCAAAAAGGGTCACGTTTCGGGCTTTGTCTTTATCTAAATTTGTAAAGTGAAAAAAGAAGAAAATAAATTGTCTCTGGAGCTACTCGCGGTGTTCTTGGAAACGAAGGGGTCACCACTCGAAAAATAATGAGCTGATAATTAAATTTGGACGTGTAATGTGAGACATTTGTTTAGTGTTAAAACAAAAAGGAATGGTTACTCGTATTCAATGAGCATTAAGATAATATTCTGAATTTCTGTAGTCTTACACATTAATTTAACTCTTGTTATAATCAATTCGTAGTACGTCATTACGTTTTTATCTTATCTCTAACAGGTTTTTGAGAGTTTAGTGGGGATTCAAACAAATTGTAAGATTACTTCCTGTTATACTATAAAGAGGAACGATTTGATTGTTTAGTTTGTTTGTACTGAATAGGCTCGGAAACTACTGGACCGAAGTTAAGGATTATTTTTAAGGGAATCTACATCATACGAGGTTGACATAAAATTTTATTCACCTGAGAGAAGTGACGGAAAGAAATGTCTTAAAAATAGCTAATCTCGACAATACGCAATAAAACAGTTACTAGAAAAAGGACAGTAAAATTGAGATCAAGTTATTTTTTACATGTATTTAACTAGTAAATAGTGTTTTGTAACAAAATCTATTAAAGTATTTTTATTGATTTCTAATATTTTCACGTGCGCTATCCATAAATGAAACAACTATTAAAC